GTGATTTTTTTGTGATTTTTTTGTGATTTTTTTGTGATTTTTTTGTGATTTTTTTGTGATTTTTTTGTGATTTTTTTGTGATTTTTTTGTGATTTTTTTGTGATTTTTTGTAATTTTTTTTATTTTTGGGGGAGGTTTGGGGCTTTTGGGGGCTTTTGGGATTTTTTGGTATTTTTTGGGGGGGAGTTTGAGGGGTTTTGGGGTTTTTTGTGATTTTTTTGTGGATTTTTTGGCATTTTTTGTGATATTTTTTGTATTTTAGGGGGGATTTTTAGGGGATTTTGGGGGGATTTTTGGGGATTTTGAGGGAATTTTTGGAAGGATTTTTAGGGGATTTTTGGGGGGATTTTAATGGGATTTTGGGAGGGTTTTTAATGGGATTTTGGGGATAATTTGAGAAGGGTTTTATGGGATTTTGGGAGGGTTTTTGCTGGGATTTGTATTTTAGGGGGGATTTTTAGGGGATTTTGGGGGGATTTTTGGGGATTTTGAGGGAATTTTTGGAAGGACAATTTGGGGATTTTTGGGGGGATTTTAATGGGATTTTGGGAGGGTTTTTAATGGGATTTTGGGGATAATTTGAGAAGGGTTTTATGGGATTTTGGGAGGGTTTTTGCTGGGATTTTGGGGATAATTTGGGGGTTTTTGGTGCCTCCAGGACCATCTGCTCCTCCCAGCCCGGAGCCACAACAAAACCTCGAGGCCCAAAATGTCCCTGGTGATGCCAGCGGCGGCTCTCAACGGTGAGGGGAGACCCAAAACACCCCAAAAACACCCCAAAATCACCCCAAAAATCACCCCAAAATCACCCCAAAAATCACCCCAAAATCACCCCAAAAATCACCCCAAAATCACCCCAAAAATCACCCCAAAATCACCCCAAAAATCACCCCAAAATCACCCCAAAAATCACCCCAAAAATCCACCTGCTAACACAATTAAAACACCAGAGAAAACAAAACATTCTAAAACCCCAAAAAATACCCCCAAAAACCTCTGAAAAATCCCCCCCAAAACGCCCCAAAAACCAATTTTTTGGTGCAATTCCAATTTAGAAAATCCCAATTTTGGGCAATTCCAGTTTAGAAAATTCCAATTTTTGGGATTTTCAAATATTGGAAATCCCAATTTTATAAAATTTCAATTTTTACAAAATTTCAATTTTTGGAAATTCCAGTTTTTCCAAATTCTAATTTTTTGTGCAATTCCAATTAAGAAAATTCCAAATGTCAGGGTTTCTAATTTTAGAAAATCCCAATTTTTAGGGAATTCCGATTAAGAAAATCCCAGTTTTTGGGCAATTCCAAATTTCAGGAAATGCCAATTTTTTGGCAATTTCAATTTAGAAAATCCCAATTTTTTTGGTTTCTAATTTCAGGAGATCCCAATTTTTGGGCAATTCCAACTTTGAAAACTCCAATTTTTTGGAATTTTCAAATATTGGGAATTGCAATTTTTGGGCAATTTCAATTTTGGGGCAATTCCAATTTTTGGGATTTTCAAATATTAGAAATCCCAATTTTACGAAATTTCAATTTTTAGAAATCCCAATTTTTTGGGCAATTCCAATATAAAAAAATCCCAGTTTTTGGGGTTTCTAATTTCAGGAAATCCCAACTTTTTTTGGCAATTCCAGTTAAGAAAATCCCAAATTTCAGGATTTCTAATTTTAGGAAATTCCAATTTTAGGAAATCCCAATTTTGAGAAATCCCAATTTTTGGGCAATTCGAATTTTTTTTGAAATTCAAATTTTAGGATTTTCCAATTTTAGGAAATTTCAATTCTTGGGCAATTCCAATTAACAAAATCCCAATTTTCAGGATTTCTAATTTTAGCAAATCCCAATTTTTTGGGCAATTCCAATTTAGGAAATCCCAATTTTTGGGATTTCTAATTTCAGGAAATCCCAATTTTTTTGGCAATTACCAATTAAGAAAATCCCAAATTTCAGGATTTCTAATTTTAGCAAATCCCAATTTTTTGGGCAATTCCAATTTTTGGGGATTTTGAGGGAATTTTTGGAAGGATTTTTAGGGGATTTTTGGGGGGATTTTAATGGGATTTTGGGAGGGTTTTTAATGGGATTTTGGGGATAATTTGAGAAGGGTTTTATGGGATTTTGGGAGGGTTTTTGCTGGGATTTTGGGGATAATTTGGGGGTTTTTGGTGCCTCCAGGACCATCTGCTCCTCCCAGCCCGGAGCCACAACAAAACCTCGAGGCCCAAAATGTCCCTGGTGATGCCAGCGGCGGCTCTCAACGGTGAGGGGGGACCCAAAACACCCCAAAAACACCCCAAAATCACCCCAAAAATCACCCCAAAATCACCCCAAAAATCACCCCAAAAATCCCCCTTAAAACCCCAAAAAATACCCCCAAAAACCTCTGAAAAATCCCCCCCAAAACGCCCCAAAAACCAATTTTTTGGTGCAATTCCAATTTAGAAAATCCCAATTTTGGGCAATTCCAGTTTAGAAAATTCCAATTTTTGGGATTTTCAAATATTGGAAATCCCAATTTTATAAAATTTCAATTTTTACAAAATTTCCATTTTCGGAAATTCCAGTTTTTACAAATTCTAATTTTTTGTGCAATTACCAATTAAGAAAATCCCAATTTTCAGGATTTCTAATTTTAGCAAATCCCAATTTTTTGGCAATTACCAATTAAGAAAATCCCAGTTTTTGGGATTTCTAATTTCAGGAAATCCCAATTTTTTTGGCAATTCCAATTTAGGAAATCCCAAATTTCGGGGTTTCTGATTTCAGGAAATGCCATTTTTGGTCGTTTTTAACCGTTTCTGCCCCTTTTCCCCCCAGAGTCGCTGCGCGGCCCCCAGCCCATGATGCAGGTGGACTGCGAGGTCATGGACACGCGTGTCATCCACGTGCGCCGCCCGGCCACGCCCCCCGCGCGGGCCACGCCCCCCGCGCGGGCCACGCCCACCCGCAGAGCCCGCCCAATCAGCCTGGGGGGAGACGGCGCCTGAGCCACGCCCACTTCCGGGACAAGACACGCCCCCTTCGCAAAGCAAGCAGGATGAGGCCACGCCCACCCGGTGGGATCGAGAGTTTAAGCCACGCCCCCTTTAAAAAAGTTGTTTAGGCCACGCCCCTTAAAACCCAAATATTTGAGGCCACGCCCCCTTAAGCCCCAAATATCAGAGGCCACGCCCCCTCTAAAACTCGTGTTTGAGGCCACGCCCCTTTTTAACTACATGCTTGAGGCCACGCCCACCCGGTGGGATTGAGACTTTAAGCCACGCCCCCTCTGAAACAATGTGTTTTAGGCCACGCCCCCTTTAAAGCTACATGTTTGAGGCCACGCCCACTCAGTGAGATCGAGTTTAAGCCACGCCCCCTTTAAAGCAATGTGTCTGAAGCCACACCCCCTTAAAACCCAAATGTTTTAAGCCACGCCCCCTTCACACCCGTGTGTCTGAGGCCACGCCCCTCAACAGGATTGCGTTTAAGCCCCGCCCCTTTTAAAGCCAGGAGCTTGAGGCCACGCCCCTTCATTAAATTGAGATTGAGCCACGCCCCCTTCACACCCATGTGGTTGAGGCCACGCCCCCTTATAAATGTTTGCGTTGCGAGGCCACGCCCACTTGGAATCAAGTGTTTAAGCCACACCCCTTTTGAAAGGAGTCTGAGGCCACGCCCCTTAGAATCAATTTTATTTGAAGCCACGCCCATTTAAATCTGCATGTCTGAGGCCACGCCCCCTTATTTAAAAGCGGATTTCTTTAGGCCACGCCCCCTGCCTAAAAAGCATTGTTCAGGGCCTTGCCCTTCTAGTAATTTGCATATTTAAGCCACACCCTTTAAATAGGTTTTCTGTCATAATAATCTTTAAGCCCCGCCCAGATTTGCATTAGGCCACGCCCCCTATTAAAACGGCAATATTGAGGCCACGCCCCTCAAGGGAATTGAGCCAAGCCACGCCTACTGTGAAGCCCCACCTCCTTTGCATATGTGGGCGTGGTTAGTTGTGAGGCCACGCCTCTTCTTAAAGGGGCGGTGCCTTTTTCTGCCCCGCCCCCAGCAGCGTTTTTTACCCAAGTCAATAAAAAATTGGGGGAAAATCCCAAAAAATATTTAAAAAAATTCACCTGGCTTCTGTCTGAGGGGGAGGGGCTGAGGAAATCTGGGAGTTTTGGGGGAAATTTTGGGGATTTTGGGCAATTTCGGGAATTTTTTGTTTCATTTTTGAGAAATTTCGGGATTTGTTTGTGATTTTTTTGCAGATTTTGGGGGAAATATTGGGAATTTTTTGTTTCATCTTTAACGAATTTTTGGGGGGGGATTCCTGTGATTTTTTGGTTGAATTTTGGGTGAGTTCATTGGAAATTTTAGGGAGTTTTTTAGGAAGTTTTTTGGGGTTTTTTTGCAACAGCCCCTCACGGACGCTCCTGGCCGCCGCCATCTTCCCTCTCCCCTCACGCATCCCCTCATTTCCCATTGGCCGCCACCCCTGTCAATCAAATCACCGCGCTGCTATTGGTGGGCACCTGCGACGACCCGCCTTATAGGGAGCTCTTCCTATTGGTTCTTGGCGCTCAGTGCATTGATTGGTTATATTGCTTGACAAGCAGTTATCTCACCCAATCAGAGCTGCGGAACCGCGTTGCCGTGGCGACGCCGCAATTTCCCGCCTCTCCGTTACCGCGGCAACCACGCAGTGGCGAGGAGGCGGGGCCAGCCGCGCCGTTTGAGGCGGTGATTGGCTGCGCGCGCTGTCAATCAGCGGCGCGGCTTCCGGCGGCGGGACGGGCCCGCGCCGCCGCCGCAGCCGCCGCCCCTCCCGGTACCGGCGGGGCCTGAGGGGGTTCCGGGGCTCCCGCGGGGATTCTGGGGCTCCCCGCGGCTCCTTGGGGCTCCCGGGGCTCCTTTGGGGGCGATCGCGGCCCTGCCGGGGCCGGGGCTGCCCCGCCCGCAGCCGCCGGGCCGGGCCCGGCCGAGCCCTGAGGGGAGGGCGGGGCCGGGGTGGGGCCCGTGAGGGGAATTGGGGAGCCCGCGGGGATCGGGGGCGTTCTGAGGCGATTTAGGGGTGGAAATGGGGAAATTGGGGGTCCTGAGGGGATTTAGGGGTGGAAATGGGGAAATTGGGGGGGAAATGGGGAAATTGGGGGGGAAATGGGGAAATTGGGGGGTCCTGAGGGGAATTTGGGGTGAAAACGGGGAATTTGAGGCATTTTGGGGCGTTCTGAGGGGAATCTGGGGAGCCCGAGGGGATTTGTGGTGGGAATGGGGAAATTGGGGGATCTTGAGGGGATTTTGGGGGTCCTGAGGGGAATTTGGGGTAAAAATCAGGGATTTGGGGATCCTGAGGGGATATGGGAGTGGAAATGGGGGATTTTGGGGGTCCTGAGGGGATCTGGGGGGTCCTGAGGGGAATTTGGGGTGGAAATGGGGAATTTGGGGTGGAAATGGAGAATTTGGGGTGGAAATGAGGGATTTTGGGGTAGAAATGGGGAATTTGGGCGATCCTGAGGGGATTTGGGGGTCCTGAGGGGAATTTAGGGTTATTGAGGGGATTTCTGGGTGAAAATTGAGGATTTGGGGGTCCTGAGGGGAATTTGGGGAGCCTGAAGGGATTTGAGAGGGGATTTAAGGGTGGAAATTGGAAATTTGGGGTGAAAATTGGGGATTTGGAGTGAAAATTTGGGATTTTGGGGGTCCTGAGGGGAATTTGGGGAGCCTGAAGGGATTTGAGAGGGGATTTAAGGGTGGAAATTGGAAATTTGGGGTGAAAATTGGGGATTTGGAGTGAAAATTTGGGATTTTGGGGGTCCTGAGGGGAATTTGGGGAGCCTGAGGAGATTTTGGTGAATTTTGGGGTGTTCTGAGGGGAATTTGGGGTAGAAATGGGGGATTTGGGATCAAAATTTGGGATTTTGTGGGTTCTGAGGGATTTGGGGGATCCTGAGGGGATTTTGGGGTGAAAATTGGAGAATTTGGGAATCCTGAGGGAAATTTGGGATGAAAATTGGGGATTTTGGGGGTCCTGAGGGGATTTTAGGGATGAAAATTGGGGAATTTGGGGGTGAAAATTGGAGATTTTTGGGGCTGTGAGGAGATTTTGGGAATCCTGAGGGGATTTTGGGATGAAAATGGGGATTTTGGGGCTTCTGGGCGGATTTTGGGGGGAATTTTTGGAGATTTCAGGGAATTTTGGGGGGTCCTGAGGGGAAATTCGGGGAGGGGGTCCTTGGGGAGGGAATCTGGGGGTCCCCAAATGTCATTTTGGGGCAGATTTGGGTTTTTTTGGGATCCTTGACCCCCATTTCCCACAAGAGGAACAATTTAAACATTCCCAAATGTAATTTTGGGGCAGAATTGAGGTTTTTATTTGTATTTTTTGTCATTTTTGCCCCCAAATCCTTGGGATTTTTGGGCTCCCTGTTCCCAGACTCCAGAGATAATAATTTACAATTCCCCTAAATTAATTCAGGTTAAATTTGGGATTTTTTTGGTAATTTTGGGGCAGAATTGAGGTTTTTATTTGTATTTTTTGTCATTTTTGCCCCCAAATCCTTGAGATTTTGGGCTCCCTGTCCCCAGGCTCCACAAAGATAATAATTTACAATTCGCCTAAATTAATTTAGATTAAAATTGTGGGGTTTTGGGTCTCCCAGACACCATGGAGGTGACGGTGGGGGGCAAAAATCTGAATTTTTTATGGCTTTTTTTGCATTTTTCACCCCAAATCCCCGGGATTTTTTGCTCCCTGACCCCGGGGCCCCACAGAGCAGGCAGTTCACGATTCCCTCAGGATAATTTAGGGTAAATTTCTGATTTTTTGGGTCCCCAGGCACCATGGAGGTGACGGTGGGGGGCAAAAATTCCATTTTTTAATGTGTTTTTTGTCACTTTTGACCCCAAATCCCCGGGATTTTTTGCTCCCTGACCCTGGGGCCCGACAGAGCAGACAGTTCAGAATGTCTCTAAATTAATTTAGGGTAAATTTTATTATTTTTCTGCCCCCCAGGCGCCATGGAGGTGACGGTGGGGGGCAAAAATTCCATTTTTTTACGTGTTTTTATCATTTTTCACCCCAAATCCCCGGGACTTTTTGCTCCCTGACCCCGGGGCTCCACAGAGCAGACAGTTCACGATTCCCAGAGCACAATTTAAGTTAAATTTATTCGTTTTGTGCCCCCCAGGCGCCATGGAGGTGACGGTGGGGAGCGAAAATTCACCTTTTTAATGTGTTTTTTGTCACTTTTCACCCCAAATCCCCGGGATTTTTTGCTCCCTGACCCCGGGGCTCCACAGAGCAGACAGTTCACGATTCCCAGAGCACAATTTAAGTTAAATTTATTCGTTTTGTGCCCCCCAGGCGCCATGGAGGTGACGGTGGGGGGCAAAAATTCCATTTTTTTACGTGTTTTTATCATTTTTCACCCCAAATCCCCGGGACTTTTTGCTCCCTGACCCCGGGGCTCCACAGAGCAGACAGTTCATGATTCCCAGAGCACAATTTAAGTTAAATTTATTCGTTTTGTGCCCCCCAGGCGCCATGGAGGTGACGGTGGGGAGCGAAAATTCACCTTTTTAATGTGTTTTTTGTCACTTTTCACCCCAAATCCCCGGGATTTTTTGCTCCCTGACCCCGGGGCTCCACAGAGCAGACAGTTCACGATTCCCTCAGGACAATTTAGGGTAAATTTGTTCATTTTTGGCCCCGCAGGCGCCATGGAGGTGACGGTGGGCACGGCGGCGCTGGCGCTGGCGCTGCTGCTGCTGCCGCTGCTCTACGAGCGCTGCGGCTCCTTCCGCTTCTTCTGCAAGATGGGCTTCTACAACGGCTGGATCCTGCTGCTGGCCCTGCTGGCCATCCCCCTGTGCGCCGTGAGGGGCCGGGACGTGGAGAACATGAAGTGAGGGGGGTTTGGGGTGAATTCCGGGGGTTTTGGGTCAGTTATTGGGGGTTTGGGGCTTCTACAACGGCTGGATCCTGCTGCTGGCCCTGCTGGCCATCCCCCTGTGCGCCGTGAGGGGCCGGGACGTGGAGAACATGAAGTGAGGGGGGGTTTGGGGTGAATTCCGGGGGTTTTGGGTCAGTTCTGGGTCAGTTATTGGGGGTTTTGGGTCAGTTATTGGGGATTTGGGGCTTCTACAACGGCTGGATCCTGCTGCTGGCCCTGCTGGCCATCCCCCTGTGTGCTGTGAGGGGCCGGGACGTGGAGAACATGAAGTGAGGGGGGGTTTGGGGTGAATTCCGGGGGTTTTGGGTCAGTTATTGGGGATTTGGGGTGATCTCGGGGGTTATTACCCATAGATCCTGCCCCACACATCCTGCCCCACACATCCCCACAGAGCCCTGACCCCATAGATACCCATAGAGCCTGACCCCATAGAGCCCTGACCCATCCCAGCCCTACGTGGTGGTCAGCAACCACCAGAGCTCCCTGGACCTGCTGGGTATGACCCATAGATCCTGCCCCATAGATCCTGCCCCACACATCCTGCCCCATAGATCCTGACCCATAGAGCCCTGACCCCACAGTGACCCATCCCAGCCCTACGTGGTGGTCAGCAACCACCAGAGCTCCCTGGACCTGCTGGGTATGACCCATAGATCCTGCCCCACACATCCTGCCCCATAGATCCTGACCCATAGAGCCCTGACCCCACAGTGACCCATCCCAGCTCTACGTGGTGGTCAGCAACCACCAGAGCTCCCTGGACCTGCTGGGTATGACCCACACATCCTGCCCCACACATCCTGCCCCATAGATCCTGACCCATAGAGCCCTGACCCCACAGTGACCCATCCCAGCTCTACGTGGTGGTCAGCAACCACCAGAGCTCCCTCGACCTGCTGGGTACGGCCTGCCCCACACATCCTGCCCCATAGATCCTGCCCCATAGATCCTGATCCTATAGATCCCTGCCCCATAGATCCCCACAGATCCCTGACCAACGGCTGCCCCATAGAGCCCCAAACTGCCCCCAGCCCCACATGTACCCTATGGAGTGTTTATGGGGGGCTGTGGGTTGATTATGGGGCAGTTATGGGGTGCTGTGGGGTGGTTATGGGGGGCTGTGGGGTGGGTACGGGGTGCTATGGGGTGGTTGTGGGGCAGTTATGGGGACCTAAGGGGCGCTATGGGGTGGGTGTGGGGCAGTTCTGGGTGCTGTGGGGCAGCTGTGGGTGCTATGGGGCAGCTGTGGGTGCTGTGGGGCAGCTGTGGGTCAGGAGCAGCCCCCCCAGCCCGTGGTGCCCCCCAGGTGCCCGTGGTGCCCATCGTGATCTCGTCCTACCAGCACTTCTACAGCAAACGCGAGCGGCGCTTCACCGCCGGTGAGGGGGGGTCCCGTGGGGCTGGGGGCTTCTGTGGGGCTGGGGGCTCCTGTGGGGCTGGGGGCTCCCGGGGTCTCTGATTTGGGTCTGGGGTCGCAGGGCACTGCGTGATCCAGGTGCTGCCCCCGCTGCCCACGCGGGTCTGGGGTCACTCTGTGGGTCTCAGGGTATTTGTGGGTCTGGGGTCTCTCTGATTTGGGTCTGGGGTCGCAGGGCACTGCGTGATCCAGGTGCTGCCCCCGCTGCCCACGCGGGGGCTGGGCCCGGCCGACGTTCCGGCGCTGACCGAGCGCGTGCGGGCGGCCATGCTGCGCGCCTTCGAGGCGCTCTCGGCCGAGCTCGCTGACCGCCCGAGTGACCAGAGTGACCACCCGAGTGACCAGCACACTGACCGGCCCAGTGACCACCCGAGTGACCGCCCGAGTGACCGCCCGAGTGACCGACACACTGACCAACAGAGTGACCACCGGAGTGACCAGAGTGACCACCCGAGTGACCAGCACACTGACCGCCCGAGTGACCGGAGTGACCACCCGAGTGACCAGAGTGACCACCGGAGTGACCAGAGTGACCACCGGAGTGACCGACACACTGACCAACAGAGTGACCACCGGAGTGACCAGAGTGACCAGAGGGGTGACCACCAGAGTGACCCCCTGAGCAACCAGCTGAGTGACCAATGGAGTGACCAGAGGAGTGACCCCCTGAGTGACCGGCCCAGTGACCAGCACAGCCCCACAGCCACCCCAAGTGACCAGAGGAGTGACCCCCGGAGTGACCAATGGAGTGACCAGCACAGCCCCACAGGCCTGAGAGACCCCCAGAGTGACCACCAGAGTGACCAACAGAGCCCCACGGCCACAAGTGACCCCCAGAGTGACCGGCACAGCCCCACGGCCGCCCTGAATGACCCCTGGAGTGACCACCAGAGTGACCACCAGAGTGACCACCAGAGCCCTCCGTGCCCGAGCGACCCCTGGAGCGACCCCTGGAGTGACCCCCGGAGTGACCCCTGGAGTGACCCCCAGCGCCCCACAGCCCCCTGGAGTGACCCCCAGTGTCCGGCACTGACCCACGGGGTGACCCCGCAGTGACCCCCGGCCCTGCAGCCCCACGGGGGACAGTGGGGCACGGACTGACCCCTGAGCGACCCCTGGGAGGGGACAGAGTGACCCTGAGTGACCCCTGAGTGGGGCAGGAACTGACCCCCAAGTGGAGCCTGGACTGACCCCCAAGTGCGGCCACAACTGACCCCTGAGTGGGGCCTGGACTGACCCCTAAGTGGGGCCCAGAGTGACCCCCAAGTCGGACACGGTTTGACCCCCAGGGGAGGCCACAACTGACCCCCAAGTGGGGCCTGGACTGACCCCCAAGTGGGGCCAAACTGACCCCCAAGTGGGGTCCGGAGTGACCCCCGAGTGGGGCCTGGACTGACCCTTAAGGGGGGCCTGGACTGACCCCCAAAGGGGGCCTGGACTGACCCCCAAGGGGTCCGGAGTGACCCTTAAGGGGGGCCTGGACTGACCCTTAAGGGGGGCCTGGACTGACCCCCAAGTGGGGTCCGGAGTGACCCCCGAGTGGGGCCTGGACTGACCCTTAAGGGGGGCCTGGACTGACCCCCAAATGGGGACAAAGTGACCCCCAAATGCAGCCACAAGTGACCCCTGAGTGGGGCCCAGAGTGACCCCGGAGTGGGGACAAAGTGACCCCCAAGTGCGGCCACAACTGACCCCTAAGTGGGGCCTGGACTGACCCTTAAGGGGGGCCCGGACTGACCCCTAGGTGTGGCCACAAGTGACCCCCAAGTGTGGCCACAACTGACCACTGAGTGGGGCCAAACTGACCCCCAAGTGGAGCCCAGAGTGACCCCTGAGTGGTGTCCGGAGTGACCCCCAAGTGGGGCCTGGACTGACCCCTAAGTGGAGCCCAGAGTGACCCTTAAGGGGGACCCGGACTGACCCCCAAGTGGGGCCAAACTGACCCCTGAGTGGTCCCAGAGTGACCCCCAAGTGGAGCCCAGAGTGACCCCCAAGTGGGGCCAGACTGACCCCTGAGTGGTCCCAGAGTGACCCCCAGGTGGTGTCCGGAGTGACCCCGAGTGACCCCGAGTGCCCCACAGCTGTGGGGGGCTGTGACAGCTGATTGGCTGCCGCTGGCGCTGATTGGCTGCCGCAGCCAAGCCCCGCCCCCTCCCGAGTGCCCCACAGCTGTGGGGGGCTGTGACCCACGGCGGGGGCGTGGCTGGCGCTGATTGGCTGCCGCAGCCAAGCCCCGCCCCCTCGAAGCTGTGTATTTATTTGGGGGGGGGGGCGCGGATTTTGCCAAATTTCCCTCCCGGCTTTTAATAAACTCCCCAAAATCCCCCCAAAATCGGGGTGCTGTGACATCACTGTGACGTCATCGGGGTGGGGTGATGTCATCAGAGGGGGGGTCATGTCACTGCGGTCACTGCGGGCAGTGTGGTCAGTGCTGTCAGCGCGGTCAGCGTGGCCGGAGTGGCGGCGGCCAGGCTGCGGCGCCGGGGGTCGGCCGCAGTCCAGGCACTCGGGCGGGCGGCGGGCGAGCGGCGAGGCCGCGGCGTGGGCAGGGCTGGTCAGCGTGGCCTGGGCAGGGCTGGTCAGCGTGGCCTGGGCAGGGCTGGTCAGTGTGGTGTGGGCAGGGCTGGTCAGCGTGGCGTGGGCAGGGCTGGTCAGCGTGGCCTGGGCAGGGATGGTCGGCTTGGTCCGGGCAGTGCTGGTCAGTGCAGCATGGCTGGTGCTGGTCAGCGTGGCCTGGGGAGTGCTGGTCAGTGTGGCGTGGCTGGCGCTGGTCAGTGAAGCATGGCCACAGCTCCGGCCAGGGGTGGTCAGCGTGGCCTGGGCAGGGCTGGTCAGCGTGGCCTGGGCAGGGCTGGTCAGCGTGGCCTGGGCAGGGATGGTCGGCTTGGTCCGGGCAGTGCTGGTCAGTGCAGCATGGCTGGTGCTGGTCAGCGTGGCCTGGGGAGTGCTGGTCAGTGTGGCGTGGCTGGCGCTGGTCAGTGAAGCATGGCCACAGCTCCGGCCAGGGCTGGTCAGCGTGGCCTGGGCAGGGCTGGTCAGTGTGGCGTGGCTGGCGCTGGTCAGTGAAGCATGGCCACAGCTCCGGCCAGGGATGGTCAGCGTGGCCTGGGCAGGGCTGGTCAATGCAGCACGGCTGGTGCTGGTCAGCGCAGTGTGGCCGCAGCTCTGGCCGGTGCTGGTCAGCGTGGCGTGGCCAGCACTGGTCACTGCGGCGTGGGCAGTTCTGGTCAGCATGGCATGGCCGGGGCTGGTCAGCGTGGCGTGGGCAGCACTGGTCACTGCGGCGTGGGCAGTTCTGGTCAGCATGGCATGGCCGGTGCTGGTCAGCGTGGCGTGGCCAGCACTGGTCACTGCGGCGTGGCCGCGGCCGTGCCGCTGCAGGTGGACGCTCAGCGCGAAGCTTTGGCCGCGGTCCGGGCAGGTGAGTGGACAGTGGCCATCGCCGTGGTCATCGCCGTGGTCATCGCTGCCCCGCTGCTGACCGCTGCTCGGGGCGGGGTGGTGGTCATCGCCGTCTGTGTCCGGCTGTCCGGAGCTGCTCTGTCCACTGCTGTGGTCACTCCTCTGCCTGCAGCCACCTCGCTGACCACTGCCGTGCTCCCGCTGACCATTACTGATGTCCAGCTGTCCGGAGCCACCCCACTGACCGCTGCCTTGGTCAGCGCTGTGGTCACTCCTGTGTCCGAGATCAGTGTCGTGGTCACTCCTGTGTCTGTGGTCACTCTGGCCGTGGTCACTCCTGTGGTCATTTTGGTGGTCACTCACGCAGTCACTCTGGTGGTCACTCAGATGGTCACTCCCATGTCCGTGGTCACTCCGATGGTCACTCGGGTGGTCACTCCTGTGGTCACTGCGGTGCCTGTCCAGCGCCCCCCGGCGCGCGAAGCCCCTCCCGCACTCCCCGCAGATGTTGGGGGGCTCCGCGCCCCCCGCCCCCCCCCGCGCCGCCGCCTTCCCCTTCCTCCTCCTGCCCCTCCAGGAATGGATTTTGGGGTCCAGAATGGATATTTGGGGGTGTGGGATGGATTTTGGGGGGTCCAGGATGGATTTTGGGGTCCAGGATGGATTTTGGGGTCCGGAATGGATTCCCGAGGATCAGGAATGGATTTTTGGGGGTCCGGGATGGATTTTGGGGTCCAGGATGGATTTTTGGGGGGTCCGGGATGGATTTTGGGGTCCAGGATGGATTCCCAAGGATCAGGAATGGATTTTTGGGGGTCCGGGATGGATTTTGGGGTCCAGGATGGATTCCCATGGATCAGGGATGGATTTTTGGGGGGTCCGGGATGGATTTTGGGGTCCGGGATGGATTTCCATGGATCAGGAATGGATTTTGGGGGGGTCTGGGATGGATTTTTGGGGGGTCCGGGATGGATTTTGGGGTCAGGAATGGATCCCCAGGGTCCCCCCAAAGTCCGCGGTGGGCACGGGAACGTCGCTCCAGTCCCTTCCCCTCTGCCCCAGCGGCCCAGGGGGGTTCGGTTCTGCTGCTGGGGGGTCCCGGTTCTGGAAAGTCCCGGTTCTGGAAAGTCCCGGTTCTGGAAAGTCCCGGTTCTGGGGGGGTCCCGGTTCTGGAAAGTCCCGGTTCTGGAATGGTCCCGGTCCTGGAAGGATCCCGGTTCTGGAAGGTTCTTGGTCACTGTTCTGGCACTGGGAGCCTCCTGGTTCCGGAGGGCTCCGGTTCCGGTCCCGGTTCCGGAGGGCTCCGGTTCCGGTTGTTTCCCAGTCCCGGCTCTGGTCCCAGAGGTTTTCCAGCTCCAGTCCCGGTTCCAGTTCCAGTCCTGGTTTTGGTTGTTTCCCAGTCCCGGCTCTGGTCCCAGAGGTTTTCCAGCTCCAGTCCCGGTTCCAGTTCCAGTCCTGGTCTCGGTTCTGGAAGTTTTCCAGTTCTAGTCCCAGTTCAGGTCCTGGTTCTGGAAGTTTCCTTGTCCTGGTTCCGGTTCCGGTCCCAGTTCTGGAAGTTTCCTTGTCCTGGTTCCGGTTCCAGTTCCCATCTCAGTTCTGGCCCTGGTTCCCGAAGTTTCCCAGTCCCGGTTCCAGTTCCAGTTCAGATTCCGGTCCCAGTTCCGGTTGTTTCCCAGTCCTGGTTCCGGAAGTTTCCTTGTCCTGGTTCCGGTTCCAGTTCCCATCTCAGTTCTGGCCCTGGTTCCCGAAGTTTCCCAGTCCCGGTTCCAGTTCCAGTTCAGATTCTGGTCCCAGTTCCGGTTGTTTCCCAGTCCTGGTTCCGGAAGTTTCCTGGTTCTGGTCCCAGTTCCGGAAGTTTCCCAGTCCCAGTCCCGGTTCTGGTTCCGGTTCCAGTCTCAGTTCCAGTGCCAGTTCTGGAAGTTTCCCAGTTCTGGTTCCAGTTCCAGCCCCGACCAGTCCCAGTTCTGGAAGTTTCCCTGTCCCAGTCCCGGTCCCAGTTCCAGTCCCGGCTCTGGAAGTTTCCCAGTCCAGGTTCCAGTTCCGGTTCCAGTTCCAGTTCTGGAAGTTTCCCTGTCCCAGTCCCAGTCCCGGTTCCGGTTCCGGTTCCGGTCCCTCCTAGCCCAGGTGCAGCCGCTGGTGCCGGATGAGGGCGGAGCTTCCCCCGAAGCCCTTCCCACAATCCCCGCAGGTGTAGGGCGTGGCACAGCCCAGGGGCGTGGCACAGCAGGGCGGAGCTTCCCCCGAAGCCCTTCCCACAATCCCCGCAGGTGTAGGGCGTGGCACAGCCCAGGGGCGTGGCACAGCCCAGGGGCGTGGCACAGCCCAGGGGCGTGTCCTCGGCGCGCAGGTGCGCCAGGAGGGCGTGGCCCTCTGCCAGCCCCGCCCCGCAGGCGTGGCCGGGTGCGCAGGGCGCGCCCTTCCTCCTCCTCCTCCTCCTGGCGCCGCCCTCCTGGCCGTGGGCGTGGCGGTGCTTGAGGAAGGCGGAGCTGTAGCTGAAGCCCCGCCCACACTCGCCGCAGGTGTAGGGCCGCTCGCCCAGGTGCGCCCGCAGGTGCGCGCTCAGGTGGGCGCTGCGCCCGAAGCTCCGCCCGCACGGGCCCACCTGGCGCAGGGGGCGGGGCCGCGCGGGGGCGTGGCGGCGGGGGCAGGGTCCTCGGGGTCCTCGTCGCTGGCGGGGGCGTCGTCTGCGGGAGAAACGGGGAAAATTGGGGATTTTGGGGAAATTTGGGGGGTTTGGGGAAATTTGGGGGAAATTTGGGGGAAATTTGGGAAAAACATTGGGGGATTTGGGGAAAATTTGGGGAAAATAATGGGGGAAATTGGGCAAAACATGGGGGAATTATGGGGGAAATTGGAAATAATGGGGGGATTTGGAGGATTTGGGGAAAATTTGGAGAGATTTGGGGAAAGTTTGGGGGAATTAAGGGGCATTTGGGGAAAATTGGGGGGGATTTGGGGGTTTTGGGGAAAAGAATGGGGGAAATTGGGAAAAATTGGGGGAATTTGGGAAAATTTGAGGGGATTTGGGGAAAATTTGGGGGAATTATAGGGGAAAATAATGGGGGAATTTAGAGAAATTGGAGAATAATGGGAGAAATTGCAAAAAATTGGGAATAATGGAGGAAATTTGGGAAAATTTGGGAAAAATGGGGAAAATAATGGGGGGATAATGGGGGAAATCGTGAGGAAAATAATAGAGAAAATTATGGGGGAATGATGGGGAAAAATTTGGGGAATAATGGGAGGAAATAATAGGGAAAATAACAAGGAAAGTGAGTGAAAATGGGGTAAATAGTGGGGGAATAATGGGGAAAATTTGGGGGAAATAATGGATAATAATTGGCAAAATGGGGAAAATAATGGGGAAAAGGGTGGAAAATGGGGAAATAATGGGGAAATAGAAGAAATAATGGGGGAAATTTGGGAGAAGTAATGGGGAACATGGGGGGAAATCAGGGGAATAATGAGGAAATAATGGGGAAAATAATGGGGAAAATCGAGGTGGAGGAAAGGGGAAGGGGATGGGGAGAAAAAGGGGATGAAAGAAAAAGGGGATGGGGAGAAAAAATTGGATTGTGGGGGAAAAAGAAGATGGGGAAAATGGAGATTGAGGGGGAAAAGGGGATGAAGGGAAAAAGGGAAAGGGGAAAATGGCAAGAGGGGAAAAAAGGGATTGGGGAAAAAAAGAAATTGGGGGGAAAATTAGAGAAAAAAAAGAGGATGAGGAGGGAAAAAGGGGAAAGAAATAAAAAGGGGCTCGGGGAGAAGGAAAAAGGGACCCCGGGGTGGGGAGGGGTCCCAGCTCACCTGCGGGGGCCACCCTGAGGATCTCCCACTCCTTGGAGTCGTTGGGGTCGGGCACCCCCAGCTCCTCCTCGGGCTCCAGCCGGGACACGATGTTGGGCTTGGGGATGGGGAAATCTGCCCCAAAAGCACCAAAAAACACCAAAAAACACCAAAAGAAGAGAAATTCAGGCTGGTTGTGGATCCGTTCCAGCAGGATTTCCAGTTAAAATCAACGGGTTTTATCCCCGGGGTTTATTTTTGGGTTATTTTGGGGAGGGGGATTTTGGGGGGTTTGTTTTGGGGGAGGATTATGGGCTGGTTATTTTGGGGAGGGGGATTTTGGGGACGGTTTTGGGGGATAATTTTGGAGAATAATTTTGAGGAGGGGGATTTTAGGTGGGTTTTTTTGGGGAAATATTTTTGGGAGGGGGATTTTGGGGGGTTATTTTGGGGGTGGTTATATAGGGGGAGGATTTTGGGGAGGGGGATTCTGGGGATCATTTTTGGGGATCATTTTGGGGGGTTATTTTGGGGAGAAGGATTTTGAGGAGGGGGATTTTGGGGAGGAGGAATCTGGGGATAATTTTGGTGGATTGTTTTGGGGGATAATTTTGAGGAGGGGGATTTTGAGGAGGGGAATTTTGGGGGTTATTTTGGGGGGTGATTTTTGGGAAGGGATTTCTGAGGAGAAGGATTTTGAGGAGGGGTATTTTGGGGGGTTATTTTGGGGAGGGGAATTTTGAGGAGGGGGATTTCGGGGATAATTCCGAGGGATCATTTCGGGGAGGAGCACTTCGGGCAGGAGGATTTTGGGGGGATAATCTCGGGGCTCACCCAGCAGGATCAGGGACTCGTAGCTCTCCTGCATGGTGCCGCCTCCTGCGCTCCTCCCCAGCCGGGCACGGGGGGCTCGGGACCCCCAGGGACCCCCAGGGACCCCCGGACCGGCGATGCTCCGGGGGCCCGGGGCTCCCCCGGCCGCTCCGGGAAGCTCCGCCCGGGAGCGGATGGAGCCGCCGCCGCTGACCCAGGAAGTGCCGCCCCTAAAGGCGGCTCCTCCTCCTCCTCTTCATCCCTACTCCGTTATTCTCCTCCTCTTCTTCATCCCCATTCTGTTCTTCTCCTCCTCCTCCTCTTCATCCCTATTCTGTTCATTTTCCTCCTCTTCTTCATCCCCATTCTGTTCTTCTCCTCCTCCTCCTCTTCATCCCTATTCCATTTTCCTCCTCCTCTTCTTCATCGGTATTCCATTCTCCTCCTCCTCCTCTTCATCCCTATTCTGTTCATTTTCCTCCTCTTCTTCATCTTTATTCTGTTCTTCTTCTCCTCCTCCTCTTCATCCCTATTCCGTTCTCTCCTCCTCCTCTTCATCCCTATTCTGTTCATTTTCCTCCTCTTCTTCATCTTTATTCTGTTCTTCTTCTCCTCCTCCTCTTCATCCCTATTCCGTTCTCTCCTCCTCCTCTTCATCCCTATTCTGTTTTCTTCCTCCTCCTCTTCATCCCTCTTCCTTTCTTCTCCTCCTCCATCCCCATTCTCATGCTGCTCTTCTCCTCTTCTTCCTCATCCCCATCCCGCTCTCCTCCTCTTCTTCATCTCCATCCTCGTCTCGCTCTTCTCCTCTTCCTCGCCTTCTTCATCCTCATCCCGCTCTCCTCCTTCTCTTTTCCATCTCCATCCTCATCCAGTTCTTCCCCCCTTCTTCATCCCCATCCTGCTCTCCTCCTCCTCCTCCTCATCTCTATCCTCTACTCGCTCTTCTCCTCTTCCTCTCTTTCTTCATCCCCACCCCATTCTCCTCCTCCTCTTCCTCCTCCTATTCTCCATCTCCATCCTCAGCCCGTTCTTCTCCTCTTCCTCCTCTTCTTCATCCCCATCCCTTTTTCCTCCTCCATCTCCATCTTCATCCCACTCTCTCCTCCTCTTCATCCTCACCCCTCTCTCCTCCTCCTCCTCCTCCTCCATGTCCGAACTGGGAGCACTGGGAAAGGGTCGGGGCTGCTTCATCCTCACCCCTCTCTCCTCCTCCTCCCCTTCCTCCCTGTCCGAACTGGGAGCACTGGGAAAGGGCCGCGGCTCTGAGCCCGTGAGGGGCAGCCGGGGAAGGGCCGGGGAAGGGCCGGAGCTGCCGCTGCCGAGGGAACACGAGCGGCACCGGGGGCGCCTCACCAACATTTAACGCGAAATAAATAAAAGAATGAGGGGAAAAAACCTGCGAAACCCGCGCCGAGATCGGGCCCCCGCCATCGCCGCAGCCGTGAGGGGACCAGGCGGGGTCGCCCCTCTGGCCAATCAGAGCGCGGGAAACGAGGAGTGACGGGGCGCTCAGCCAATCAGAGCGAGCGGTGCGCTTTGGGCGGGAAAATCAACCAATGGCAGCGAGGGGCGGGCTCTGCGCGGGGTATATAACGGGTCTGTGAGGAGGAATAACGCCTCAAAACGGCGGGGGAAGGAATGGGCCTGGAACGTCCCAGAATGTTCCAGAATGTTCCGGAGGGCAAGAAATCGCTGTGGGTGAGTCGGGGATGGAGCAGGGACCCCCCTGCAGGACCCAGGGGATGCCTGAGAGCGGCACTGAGGTGTTTAAGTGGCTCCTGGTGGGATCCCGGCCTGTTCCTGAGGGGTTCGGTGCCTGTGATTTACCAGATTTCAGCATTTCCTCGTAAAATTCCTCCCCCTGGAAAAGGCACTGGGCGTTCCCGCCTGGATTGGAGTTAATTTGGTCAGGTTTGGGCACTTGGTGGTGTCACCAAATCCTGCGCCGTTGGTTCCTTTGGAGTCGTTCCACTTTCATCATATGCCTCCAAAAAAGCCAAATTGAAGCCCAAAAGGGAGTTTTTAAATTCCTGAATTTTGGGATGGAATTCAGACGGACGTGGCAGCGAAACAAACCTGGGATCGTGGGGAGAATGCCCCGCTTTTCACCTTTTATTCTGGAAAACCCCTGCCCCACGTCCGCCTCTCGAACCCCGCCAGCGCCAAACCCACCCCAAAAAAAAAATCCAAAATTTCCCCAAATTTAGAGAGGGACTTTTAAACCACTTCAGTTTCAGGATGCAAATGGCAGTGATGCAAACGGCGGGAGGGGGGCGGCGGAACCCCCGCGTTTCTCACCTTTTTATTCTGCAAAACCCCCCAAAAAACGGGGAAATCCCCCCAAAAAACCCCACCCTCAGCTCCAGGAGGGGTCGTAGCCCGTCCAGTCCGAGGGGGGGGCCAGGAAGACGCGGCGCCCGCGGCACACGAAGCTGACGACGCCGCGGTAGCCGGCGCGGGGCACGCCGGATTTGAGGTCGTCCATCAACCCTAAAGCTTTGGCCAGAGCCTTGAAGGAATCCCTGCCCCGGTACTGGAGCCTGACCGCCCCCGAGCCCCTCCCCGAGTCCTTCTGCAGCTCCTCCAGGTGGACCTCGGGGGCGGAGTAAACCTGCTGCAGGAAGAATCGCTCGTACTCGTCCTTTTTGAGGTAAGAAAGGTCCATTTGGGTGAAAGGCACGAAGCGGTCGTTGAGTTTGATGAACTTCAGGTACTGGTCGTAGAACTGGCCGTGGCTCACGCCCTTGCGGCCGAAGGTCATCGTCCTGGACACCTCGGGCCGCACGCAGGCGCGGCCACGCCGCTGCTCGGGCTGCCTCATCCAGTCATCCCAGAACGCCGGCGGCCATTTGGGCTCCAGCTCGTCCCACAGCTCGGCCAGCAGCAGCCAGCCCAGGCCGGGGAAGAAGTCGGTGCGGTAGAGCAGCTCGGCCCTGCCGGCGTCCACCAGGCCCTCCTTGCCGTTGTCGTTCCACGCCGAGGCGCACCACAGGCTGGGGTCCTGCTCCAGCAGCGGCAGCACCGCCTGGAAGTACTCGAAGAAATCCGGCGCCACCTCCAGGTCGTCCTCCACCACGATGGCGGCGCGGTAGCGGAAGGTGCGGAACACCTGCCCCAGCGCCCAGCGGTAGTGCCGGGAGATCTTGTAGTAGCCCTGGAACTTGCGGTGCTCCGGCGGCACCGGCACGTCACTGAGGTCGGGCTGGCGGATGTGCGCCACGGCGGCGCCGTACGAGGCGATGACGGCGGCGGTCTCGGCGTGGCCGCAGTCCTGCGAGACGATGACGGGGAAGCGCCGCGCGCTGGGCCGGTAGCGCAGGATCTTGTCCAGGCAGCGCCGCACCGAGCTGCGGTCGCAGGCCAGCACCAGCACCGGCAGCACCGGCGCCTCCCCGGCCGCCGCGGTGCTGACTTGGGGCGGCCTCGGCGTTTTTTGGGGCGGGTTTTGGGGCGGGTTTTGGGGCGGTTTCGGCGTCCGGCGGCGCTGCAGCCGGCTGAGCTGCTGGATCTGCAGCAGCAGGTCGCGCTGCAGGCGCAGCTCGGCCTCGGCGTCCTGCGCCAGCTGCAGCAGCTGCGCCGGCAGCAGGCGGGCGCCGGCGGGCAGCCGCGGCTGCGGGGGGCTCGGGAGAGCCCCGGGGCGGCCCCAGAGGAAGAGGAGCAGCAGCCCGTTCCAGGCGAGGAAGAGCGCGGCACCCAGCAGAGCCAGGCTGCGCTTCTTCAGCATCCTTCACATGGGGCTGCGGGAAGGATGAAAATGTGGGGTAAAAATGGGGTTGGAAACGGGGGAAAAGGGAAATGTGGGGTAAAAATGGGGTTAGAAACGGGGGAAAAGGGAAATTCGGGTTAAAAATGGGGTTAGAAACGGGGGAAAAGGGAAATTCGGGTTAAAAATGGGGTTAGAAACGGGGGGAAAGGGAAATGTGGGTTAAAAATGGGGTTGGAAACGGGGGAAAAGGGAAATTTGGGTTAAAATGGGGTTAGAAACGGGGGAAAAGGGAAATTTGGGTTAAAAATGGGGTTAGAAACGGGGGAAAAGGGAAATTTGGGTTAAAAATGGGGTTAGAAACGGGGGAAAAGGGAAATGTGGGTTAAAAATGGGGTTAGAAACGGGGGAAAAGGGAAATTTGGGTTAAAATGGGGTTAGAAACGGGGGAAAAGGGAAATTTGGGTTAAAAATGGGGTTGGAAACGGGGGAAAAGGGAAATTTGGGTTAAAAATGGGGTTAGAAACGGGGGAAAAGGGAAATTCAGGAGTAAAAATGGTGAAAAAAGAGAAATCTGGGGTTAGAAATGGAGGAAATGGACAATTCCCAAGTTTCAGGTGTGGCAAAGTCAAAAGTCCTAAATTAGAGATGCAAAATGCCAAAATTTCTGAATTTTAGGTGAGGAAAAGTGACAATTTTTAAACTCTCAGGCACAAAAAAAGTTTAAAAATCCCAATTTTCAGGTACAAATAAAAGGCAAAATTCCCAAATTTTGGGTCAGCAGAGCCAGGCTGCACTTCTTCAGCATCCTTCACATGGGGCTGGGGAAAGGGGGGAAAAATGAAAATTTGGGTTAAAAATGGGGTTAGAAACGGGGGAAAAGGGAAATTCGGGTTAAAAATGGGGTTAGAAACGGGGGAAAAGGGAAATTTGGGGGTAGAAATGGGAGAAAAGAGAAATCTGGAGTTAAAAACTTGAGAAAATAGAAATTCGGGGCTAAAAATGGTGAAAAATGAGAAAATTTGGGTTTAGAAACACAAAAAAAAAGAGAAAATTTAGGCTAAAAATGTGAGAAAAAAAATTTGGGGTTAAAAACACGAGAAAAGAGAAATTTGGGGTTAGAAATGGTGAAAAAAGAGAAATTTGGGGTTAGAAATGGAGGAAATGGACAATTCCCACGTTTCAGGTGTGGCAAAGTCAAAATTCCTAAATTAGAGCTACAAAAAAGTCAAAATTTCTGAATTTCAGGTGAAGAAAAGTCAAAATTCTCAAAATTCAGGCCCCAAAATTCCTTTTTTTTTTTGCCCCCAAAATCCCCCCTCAAAAGAAGAATTGAAACCTTGTGATTGAAATAAATTAAAATTCATTAAAATATCAAAAAATCCTTAAAATTTAAAAAAAAAATCTCTTTAAGATGCCCCAAAATTGTTTTAAAAATAAGAAAAAAATGAAGTTTGAGGTTCCCACCCCAAATTTCACTGAGGGGGAAAGAATTCCTAAAAAATTGCTGAGAATTTTGTTCAAAAAGAGGCAAAATTCCTTAAAAAAAGGAGAAAAAATCAAATTCAGCCCTCACCAATCTGGAGTCCAAGGGCAGAGTCCAATCCTGTTAAAAATTAATTTTATGTCCTGTTTAAACATTAACTTTTAATTAATTTCAATGTTAAAAATTAATTTCAATGTTAAACTTGAATTTTAAATCCTGTTAAACATTAACTTGCACTTGATTTTAATATTAAAATTGAATTTAAATTGAATTTTCGTGTTGAAATAGAAATTTAAATCCTGTTAAACGTTAATCTTAAATCACTTTGAACATTAAAATTCAATTTTAAATCCTGTGAATTCCAATTTTTTCCCCGAAATTCCAATTTTCCCTCCTTTTTTTTCCAGTTCTCAGGTTTTTTTCATAAAATTCCCTTTTCCCCAAAAAATTCCTATTTTTTCCTTTTTTTGGGTCCTGTTTCTTCCCATTTCTTTCCCAAAATTCCAAATTTTTTTCCCATTTCCCCCCTAAATTCCAGGGTTTTTCCCAAAATTCCAAATTTTCCCCCATTTTTTCTCAAAATTCCAATTTTCTCTCAATTTTTCCCACTTTTTCATATTTTTCCCTTCTTTTTTTCTGCCAAAAATCCAATTTTTCCCCTAGTTTTTCCCTTTTTTTCCCAAAATTTCCCATTTCCCCCCCATTTTTTCCCAAAATTCCATTTCCCCCATTTTCTCCAATTTCCCCCCAATATTTCTTATTTTTTCCTATTTTTCCCTGGTTTTCCCCCATTTTTTCCCCAAAATTTCCCATTTTCCCCACTTTTTTCATAATTTTTCCTCATTTTCCACCAAAATTTCCCATTTTTTTCCTTCTTTTCTCAGTTTTTTCCCTTTTTTCTCCCCAAAATTCCCCTTTCCCCCCCATTTATTCACATTTTTTTCCCCAAAATTCCAATTTTTTCCCCATTTTCCCACCATTTTCCTGCCACTTTTTCCCCAATATTCCAATTTTTCCCCATTTTCCACTTTTTCTCATTTTTTTCCATTTTCTCCTTTTTTTCCCCAAAAAATTTCCATTTCTCCCCCATTTTTTCACAGTTTTTTCTCCTTTTTTTCCCCAAAATTCCAAATTTTTCCCCATTTCCCCTCCATTTTCACCCTTTTTTCCCCAAAATTCCCATTTTTCCCCCATTTTTTCATCTCCCCAAAATTCCCCTTTCCCCCCCATTTATTCACATTTTTTTCCCCAAAATTCCAATTTTTTCCCCATTTTCCCACCATTTTCCTGCCACTTTTTCCCCAATATTCCAATTTTTCCCCATTTTCCACTTTTTCTCATTTTTTTCCATTTTCTCCTTTTTTTCCCCAAAAAATTTCCATTTCTCCCCCATTTTTTCACAGTTTTTTCTCCTTTTTTTCCCCAAAATTCCAAATTTTTCCCCATTTCCCCTCCATTTTCACCCTTTTTTCCCCAAAATTCCCATTTTTCCCCCATTTTTTCACCCTTTTTTCCCTTTTTTGTCCCCAAAATTCCAATTTTTTCCCAGTTTTTCCCAGTTTTTCCCCAAAATTCCCATTTTTTCCCCATTTTTTCCCATTTTTTCCCCATTTTGGGCAGCACTGACCTGTGCAGAGTGGGGGAGGGGGCGCTGGGGTTCCCCCTCCCCCCTCGGGAATTTGGGGGGAAAATTCAGGAATTTGGAGCTCCGGGAGGGGGGAGGGGCCACAGAGATCCTGGGAAAAAAAAAAAGGGAAAAAAATGAAAATTCCCAAATTTTAGGATGGGGGAGGGGTCAGAGCAAAAAGCCCCAAAAAATTCTTTAAAAAATCTTCAAAAATCCACCCCCAAAAAACCAAAAAACCCCAAAAAACAAACCTAAAAAAATCCCTATAAAAATCCCCCAAAAAACCCAAAACAATCCCCCCAAAAAATCCCAAAAAAATCACCAAAAAATCCTTTAAAAATCCCAAAAAACCCTAAAAAAAAACCCCAAAAAAATCCCCCCAAAAACACAAAAAACCCCTAAAAAAATCCCAAAAATCGCCCTTAAAAACCCAAAAAAAATCCCCAAAAAATCCTTTAAAAATCCCCAAAAAAACCCCAAAAACCCAAAAAATCCCTTTAAAAATCCCAAAAAATCGCCATAAAAAAACCCCAAAAAATCCTTTAAAAATTCCCCCAAAAAACCCCCAAAATACCCAACCCCAAAAACTCCTAAAAATCACAAAAAAACCCCAAAAAATTATCCAAAAAACCCCCCAAAAAACCTAAAAAAAATCCCTTAAAAACCCCTAAAAATGACCCTAAAAAGCCCCAAAATCCCCTCAAAAAAAGCCAAAACAAAAATCCCTAAATGCAAAAAAAATCCCCAAATCCCCCCAAAAAATCCAAATCAACCCCTCAAAATTTGCCCCAAAAAAACCCAAAACTGCACTAAAAAAATCCCAAAAAAATGCCCCAAAACCTCCTCAAAAAATCCAAATAACGCCCCCAAAAATCTCCAAATAAAACCTAAAAAAATCAAATAAATCCTCCCAAAAAAATCCCCCAAAAAATCCAAATAAATCCCCCCAAAAAATCAAAAAAATCCAAATAAATCTCCCTCCAAAAAACCCCAAAATTAAAAGAAAAATCCTTAAAAAATTAAAATAAATGCCAAAAAACCCCAAAAAATCCCGCAAAAAATCCAAATAAATTTCCCCAAAAAATCCCCCCCAAAAAAATCCCAAAAAAATCCAAATAAATCCCAAAAAAAAACCCAAAAAAACCCCCAAAAATCGAAATAAATCTCCCCAAAAATCCCCCCAAAAAATAAAAAAATCCCTAAAAAAATAAAATAAATCCTAAAAAAACCCAAAAAATCCCCCCAAAAATCCCAAAAAAATCCCTAAAAAAATCCAAATAAATCCCAAAAAAACCCCAAAAAAATCCCCCCAAAATCGACATAAATCTCCCCAAAAATCCCCCAAAAATCCCTAAAAAATCCAAATAAATGCCAAAAATTCCCAAAAAAACCCCCCAAAAAATCCAACTCAACCCCCCCTAAAAAACCCCCACGGAAATCCCCAGAAAATCCCCAAATTTCCCCCAAAATCCCCTCCAGCCCCGGGACCCCCAAAAACCCCAAAAAGTCCCAAAATTCCCCGAATTTGCCCCAAAATCCGCGCCCTGCCCCCCCCGTACCGGCGGCTCCTTCCCGGCAGCGCCGCCACTTCCGGTTGCCCGCACCGGAAGTGTCGCCATGGCAACGGCGAGGCCACGCCCACAACCCCCGACGTTTGCCCAATCAGGGCGCGCCAAGACCTCTAAATTATGCAAATGAGGCAGCGTGGCCACGCCTTTAAGCAGGAAACCCCGCCTCCTGCGTGAGCCACGCCCCTTTTGCACAATTTCAGCCACGTCGCCGCTTTAAGGTGTTTAAGCCACGCCCTTCTCTTTGGAAACCACGCCCCCTCTTTAAGCCGCGCCCCTCTCCTCCAGCCACGCCCTCCCCGCGTAATTAACTCGGTTATTAATTAATTAGGGGTTAATTAAGCGCTCCCTGGGGGCGGCTGAGGGCGGCTTCCGGTTGGCGCGGCGAGCGGAAGTGACGTTGGGGAAGGGGCGGGGCCGGCGGAGTTTCCCGCGCGCGCTGAGGCGGCTCCGGCAGGAGGTGGGGGAGGGGCGGGC